TTTTTTTTTACTTCCTTCAATATCTCATTCCCTGGGCAAATATTTTATTTTTCTGGATTAAAGTATGCCTTTTTTCTTTTTCTTTTTTACTTCCTTCAATATCTCATTCCCTGGGCAAATATTTTATTTTTCTGGCTTAAAGTACGCCTTTTTTAAAAAATTAAAAATGTTAATAGACGGACTAAGGGAAACAGAATGAAAAGAAAGTTCCAAAAGTGCTTGAATAACAAATTTTCTATAGTTTCTACTAATGCTATAATATTCCCCTTTTATTTATTACTACTATTCCCCTTCAGTTTAATGACCGTTCAAATTTATAACAGCACTGAAAACAGTGAGTTAGGTCCAGGCCTCGTACATACGACCATCACAGCATTCCCCACAATCATTTGATCAAAATTTAGGTGCTTTACAACTAGCATGTATTTATAACAGCGTCCCGGGGTCCCACAATCACCACTTGCAATCTTCCTAGCAGAGCTTCCAGCAAACAAAGCCAATGGGGAAAACTGGGTTCACTTAATGACCCTGTGACTCACTTAACAACTGCAATGGTTCGCTTAATACCAGTAGCAAAAAGGTCTTAAAACCAGGCACGAATCATTTAACACCTGTCTTGTTTAGTAAAGGAAATTCTTCAGAAGTTTTGTCTGAAGTGGTGTAGGGTTTCCTGCTTGAGCAAAGGGTTGGACTAGAAGACCTCCAAGGTCCCTTCTAACTCTGTTGTTCTATTCTAACTCTGTTCCGTTCTGTTCTGCTCTGCTCTGCTCTGCTCTAAATATGCCCAATATGCTCTATTTTCTATTCTACTCCATTCCACTCCACTCCATTCCGTTCCGTTCCGTTCCGTTCCGTTCTGTTCTGTTCTCTTTCTATTCTATTCTATTTTCTATTCTATTTTCTATTCTATTTTCTATTCTATTCTATTTTCTATTCTATTCTCTATTCCATTCCATTCCATTCTGTTCTGTTCTCTTTCTATTCTATTCTATATTCTATTCTGTTCTGTTCTGTTCTGTTTTATTCTATTCTCTTTCTATTTTCTTTTCTATTCCATTCTATTTTCTATTCTATTTTCTATTCTATTCTATTTTCTATTCTATTCCGTTCCATTTCATTCTGTTCTGTTCTATTCTGTTCTCTTTCTATTCTATTCTAATATATTCTATTTTCTATTCTATTTTCTTTTCTTTTCTATTCCATTCCATTCTATTCTATTCTGGACCCAGTTTTGATCATAAGTCAAGAACTGCCTGTATACTTCTGCTTCCCCAAAGAAATCAACCCGACATTTCATTTATGGCTGGAAGAATTTTTTTCTGGCTCTTGAACGATATAATAATGCCGTCATTTCTACTTTTTAAATGGGAGATTTCTCTATTAGTACAGACAGTTCTTGACCTACAACTGTTCATTGAAAGATCGCTTGAAGTTACAACGAACTGAAAAAAAGGGAGTTAGGATTTTTTCACACTTATGGCCGTTGCTGCATCCCCATGTCATGTAATCAAAATTCAAGCAATTGGCTACTGACTCCTATTTATGAAGGCTACAGTGTCCGAGGGCCATGTGATCCCCGTTTTGCGACTTTCTGACAAGCAAAGCCCGAGACGCTGAACGACCGTGTTATTAACTTAGAAAGAAAGAACGGTCATTAAATGGGGCAGGACTCCCTTAACATGCGTCTCCCTTAGCCACAGAAATTTTGGGCTCAACGACGGTCGTAATCTGTTAATACAAAAGCAATTTGGGCATATTTAGACACGCGTAGCCCTTGTAGATATGATTTTTCAGCGGAAAACAGAGGCCAAGTTAGTTAGGTAGTTAGATACACATGATTTTTCTGGATTGGGAAGTTCATTTGGTACTTATTCTGCAATTGCTGTTGGTAATTATGGTGCATGAAGCCTAACTCTTATCTTTGATGAAAGAAAAACCTGTCTATAAATAGACCAGAATTGTTCTACTGGTGGGAATATAGATCATAAAACCTTAACCTGAAAGATCAGGTTGGGGAGAGATCGTCATGCAGAAAATCTACCTGTGTGTCATCCCTGGGAGACGAAAATATAATCATAATCAGATCATAAAGAAGAAGAAGAACCAAAAGATTTTGTGTAAAGGGTCATTTAAGCATTTTTTTCTCAACCTTGGTCCTTTTAAGATGGATGGATTGCTCCTCCAAAGCCATGTTCCGCCCAGTTTCCACCTCTGAAATTTCCTGTCTGGCCGCTCACAGAGGGTCAGTAATCATACCTCTTCAGCCCTTATTCTTAACACTGGAACACCACAGGGTTGTGTGTTGAGTCCCTTACTCTATATTTACAGACCCCTCCCATCCTGGACATAAACTGTTTCAACTCCTACCCTCAAAACGATGCTATAGAGCCCTGTACACCAGAACAACTAGACACACAAGGACAGTTTTTCCTGAATTCCATCATTCTGCTAAACAAATAATTCCCTCAACACTGTTCAACTATTACAAAATCTGCACTACTGTTATTATTAATCTTCTCATCACTCCTTATCACCCATCCCCTCCTACTTATGACTGTAACTTTGTCGCTTATATCCTTACAATTTATATTGTCCGTTTCCTAGTATGATTTGATTGCTTATTTGTATCCTGTGACTATCATTAAGTGTTGTACCTTGTGATTCTTGACTCTTGATGAATGTATCTTTTCTTTTATGTACCCTGAGAGCATTTGCACCAAGACAAATTCCTTGTGTGTCCAATCACACTTGGCCAATAAATAATTCTATTCTGTTCTGTTCTGTTCTGTTCTGTTCTACTCTACTCTACTCTACTCTACTCTACTCTACTCTACTCTACTCTACTCTACTCTACTCTACTCTACTCTACTCTACTCTACCCTACCCTACTCCATTCCATTCCATTCCATTCCATTCCATTCCATTCCATTCCATTCCATTCCATTCTATTCTATTCTATTCTATTCTATTCTATTCTATTCTATTCTATACTCTTTATGTGCATGACTGCATTCCCACTCATGCTAGTAATACTATTACTACATTTGCAGATGATACAACAGTGGTGGGGATGAATCTGCCTACTGAGATGAGGTGGACAGGTTGCTTTCGTGGTGTGGAGATAATAATTTGGTCCTCAACACCAATAAAACCAAGGAGCTTATAGTGGATTATAGAAGGAACAGATCAGACATCCAGCTCTTGCTTCTCAATGGGGACCGAGTGGAGCAAGTGGCTGGGTGCTACCCTATTACCATCTGGCAGACGGTACAGGACAATAATAAAAACAAGGACAAATAGGCTGAAAAACAGCTTCGATCCCAGGGCAGTAACTCTATTGAATTTATTTATTTGATTAATTTGATTGGTCAATTGCTTAAAAGATAATAAGTATAAGTATAAACATGAGTAAGAATACAGGAAATAGGTACAAATAAATGGAGATAATAGGACAGGGACGGTAGGCATGATGGTGCACTTATGCAGGCCCTTTACTGACCTCTTAGGAATGGGGTGAGGTCAATAGTGGATAGTTTGAGATTAAAGTAGGGGTTAGAGCAGGGGTGGGCAACTATGGCCCTTTCATGAATTATGGACTTCAACTCCCAGAATTCCTGAGCAAGCCATGCTAGCTCAGGAATTTTGGGAGTCGAAGTCCACAAGTCATAAAGGGGCCATAGTTGCCCACCTCTGGGTTAGAGGATGTAACTACAGAGTCAGGTAGTGCATTCCTGTATAGTGCACTGTAATCTTAAAAGATCCATCTCATCCTGGGCTCCCTTCTTTTTGAACTCTTACCATCTGGCAGACGCTACAGGACAATAATAAAAACAAGGACTAACAGGCTGAAAAACAGCTTCTATCCCAGGGCAGTAACTCTATTGAATTCTACCGTATAGGGCAATTAATGCAATATTAGGGGTTTTCAATTCAGTGTGTGGAGTGCGAAAGATGCGCGCTTGTGTTTATTTTCATGGTCATGATGTGCACTGAAGATGAGGTTTAATTTCGTTATACGAGGCGCAATGACAATCAAGTGAAGTCAAATTAAACGAAACTCTCTCCAACCGGGCTCGCCTCCCCACCCTTCTCAAAGTCCGGGTCGGGGCAAAGGACCGCTCCCTCGCCTCTCCGGGGGAGCTGCCAACTTTGCTCCCGAGCAGCCGGCGGGGGATGATGAAGGCGTCTCGGGCCGGGCGAGGGTCTCGGCTCCGCGTGCGAGTCGGAGTCGGAAGGGAGAAAGGGCGCTGTGCGGTGCAGAGGAGCCGGCGGAGGGGCTGCGGTCCAGCGGCGCTCCTGGCAGGTGGGTTGGGACTCAGGAGCGTCGGTTTGGGCGGGTGGGGGGCGAGGGCCCCCCTCATTGCAACACTTGGGGGGCGTTCTTGATCAAAGACACCCACACACACACACCCCACACACGCACACACACACCGCTTTCTTGGCGACCACCGCGGGGGCAGCAGCGCCAGGAGCAGTGCCTCTTCTCTCGCTTGTTGGGTTAATAATAACGGGATTCATTGAGTCACGCATCTGCAAAAACCGGTTTCGTTTCGGGTTTTTTTTCCTCCTCGTCTTTGTTTCGGTCCCGTCACGGATTCGTGTGTGGGGCCAGTTCGATCCGCCCGCCGCCCGCCCTGTAAAACCAACGCTGGTTTGTACTGCCATGCCCGGGCATCGCAGAGAAAGGGCCTCGCCTCCAGACCTCGTCTGTCTCTTTAAAACAACAACAACAACAACAACAACAACAACAACAACAACAACAACAACACACACACGCACACACAGAGCCCAAAGCATTAGGAGAATGCTTGCCCAGGAGTGGGAGGGGGTGGAGGGTGATAGAAAGGCAGTTTGCTAAGCTCAGGGAAAATGGGGTTAATGGGGTTTATGCTTTTTAAGTTTTTTATTTTATTTTTATCTTTTAATTTTGCTTAACTCTTGCTGACCTGTATACAAAGTCCAAGTAGCTAGTTTTGGTGGGGTGGCATGGGATGGGATGGGATGGAATGGGACAGAACGGAACAGAACGGAACAGAACGGAACAGAACGGAACAGAACAGAATAGAATAGAATAGAATAGAATACAGAACAAAATAGAATAGAATAAGAATAAATAGAATAGAATAGAATAGAATAGAATAGAATAGAATAGAATAGAATAGAATAGAATAGAATAGAATAGAATAGAAATCATAGGGCTGGAAGAAAAATTCTAATAATTTTTCTCAACTTTGGCAACGTGAAGGTACATGGACTTCAACTCTGGGAGCTGAAGTCCATCAGATTCAAAGTTGCCAAGATTGGAATGCACTGAACTAGAAGATTTGCATTGAGCAGTTTTAGATCAGATGACTTCTGGGGAAGAGGATGGACTGCCACCTGTCAGAAATGGTGTAGGGTCTCCTGCTTGGCGGAGGGGGCTGGACTAGATGACCTACAAGGTCCCTTCCAATTCTGATTATTTGTTTTCTTTTTCCTCCTGAATTACAGCCATGCTCCTGATGAATTCCTGCATTCAGCTGGCCGATGCGGTCAACACAGTTATTCCAATAACCGTGTCTCCGCCGAAACCGGCCGAAGGATTTAATATCTTCCTGATACCCAGGTTGGATCATAAGAATTTTACAAGTTGTGGCTGGTATCGGGGGTCAGTGTTGACCTCAGAGAATCTAAGACTAATTATCTCTAGCCAACCTAAGTTTTACAATATGGGAGATGCCTACACTGGTCGGGAAAAGTTATGTGCAAACTGTTCCCTTCACATCAAGCATTGTAAGACAGAGGACAAGGGGATGTATACAATCATTATGACAGGAAGCATGATTGCAATCGGAGAAGTCAACTTAAATGTCTCAGGTACAACTTACTTATTCCTTTGGCCCTCTGACTTGATTGATTGGTTGGTTAGTTGGTTGGTTGGTTAACTGGTTGGGTTGGGTTGGTTGGTTGGTGGGTTGAGTTGGGTTGGTTAGTTGATTAGTTAGTTGGGTTGGATTGGTTGGTTGGTTGGTTAGTTGATTTATTGGTTGGGTTAGTTGATTGGTTGGTTGATTAGTTGGTTGGTTAGTTGGTTGGTTGGTTAACTGGTTGGGTTGGGTTGGTTGGTTGGTGGGTTGAGTTGTGTTGGTTGGTTGATTAGTTGGTTGGGTTGGATTGGTTGGTTAGTTGATTTATTGGTTGGGTTAGTTGATTGGTTGGTTGATTAGTTGGTTGGTGAGTTGGTTGGTTGGTTGATTAGTGGGTTGGGTTGGGTTGGTTGGTTAGTTAATTGATTGGGTTGGTTGGTGGGTGGGTTGAGTTGGGTTGGTTGGTTGATTAGTTGGTTGGGTTGGTTGGTTGGTTGGTTAGTTGATTTATTGATTGGGTTGGTTGATTGGTTGGTTGATTAGTTGGTTGGTTAGTTGGTTGGTTGGTTGATTAGTGGGTTGGGTTGGTTGGTTAGTTAATTGGTTGGTTTGGTTGGTGGGTGGGTTGAATTGGGTTGGTTGGTTGATTAGTTGGTTGGGTTGGGTTGGTTGGTTGGTTAATTGATTTATTGGTTGGGTTGGTTGGTTGGTTGGTTGGTTGATTATGTACCTGTCAGGGCTCCAACAAATCCACCCTCATTCAAATCATAAGTCTCCAGCCGCATCTCTCAGAGTAAAAAAAAATGTTTTATTAGGAATGGCCATGTTGACGTTAGCTGGGTGCAGCTGACACTAAAATACATCATTCATTTCCCCCTTGACCCTGGTCTTCCTCCCGCCCCCTGGATGTATGTTCTCCAATGGAACACATCCAGAACCAAGTCATCAATCATGCTCTCCAGTAATATTGTTGCACTCCAACAGCTTTGGGCTGCTAAGGCGATTATCTGATGCATTTAAGGAATGCACTGTTTTTCCCCACTCCCTTTCTCCTGGCAACTAAAAAGACCAAAGGAATATTTTTTTAGTTGATATTACCATCAAGTTGGTATCAGCTTCCACCAACCATATAAGACAATTTTATCCCCAACATGTCTTGATTAATAACCCCAGATTGGGCCCAGGGCAGATTTGCTTTAGGTTACACATGGGTAATGACTAAAAAGGATACATGTGCCTTGATACTTAGGAGGTCCTTCCCAACTTCCACACTGATTCAACCATTTTTCTGTTCTAGGTGGACTTCATTCGGTTCCAACCAACCAACCCGAAGGTGTGCTAGTGGATACGGGTAACTATTGTTCTATCCGTTGTAAACTCTGGCATCTTTCTGTCTGTTTTTGGCCCTTGCCATCTGCAGCAAACCAACATAAGATGCTTGGGTTGCCCAGAAAGGCTTCACTTGGTGTTGAATTATTTGGCTTTCTGAATTTGCTCAGTGAGTTGACTTGTAGGTTTATTGATCAAAATGCATTTAATCCCTGAGAAAACTTATCAGGTTAACATGAGCCAAGTTTTAGCATTCCGGGATAACACAACTGCTAGTTATATAGAGGCCCTGGTTAGCTGTATTGTGTGTGAAAACAGAATGGGTAGCATTTTTGCATTAATCTGGAAACCCTCCGTGCAGCTTCCTCTTTTATGTGTTCTTCTTCCCATCACCAATGCCCTGGGAACCAAAAGCGATCATTGCAGTTGTTGGTGGGATCATAGGAGGAACCATAATATTGACTGAAATAATGCTCTGGATTTACATCCTAACCTGTAAGTATTGTAAGATCTTCCAAACTGGGTATTTTGCAGTCCTAACTTTCAGTGATTGCAGGGGGGAAAGTGGGGGGAGGCTTGCAATGAATAAAGGGAGCAAGAAATGGAGGGGGATGAGGGTCCAGAATATTAATTGAAGAAGGGGAGGTGCTTGGAAACTTAATGCCTTGAATGGAGAAGACTTGGGGACCTGCAAAAATTGGAGATGTTTTCTTCTGTTTAGAAATCTTGTTTAGATATCTTTGCTTCCATAACCACTTAACTTTAGAAGAATATATCTTTGGCTAACCACAGGTGTTCTGTATTCTGTACAGTGGTAGATTTGTTTTCTGTACAGATGCAGATAGATAAACTCAACAAAACATCCATAACGAAGTATGTTTATTGGTTCATCGGGTATCCTCATAACTCACATTTGTGATGAAGTTCTTCTTTCATGACCAATCCTTTGCATATCTGTCTTGTAGGTAAAAAGATGGTTATCTGCTATCCTTTTTCCCTCATCTCATAGTGGTAGAACAGTTACCACGAGTCCGTGAGTTCAGCCAAGAGTGAGGAAACCTCCCCCAACCCATCGAGGGTCAATTTAGTGACCAATCAGGATTACAGATGTGGTCACATGACATGGACTACATTTCCCAGGATACCTTAACTACATTTACCATGATGCATTCCCTTAAGGGGACAGCTCACAATTGCTAATTAACTATCCAATTCCCATACACTGGCTGGACAGCACAACGGGCCTAGGAGGAGTCTTTTCTTTTCTAATTGACCAAATTGGGAAGATTGACAGGTTGTCCCAGAGATGCTTTTTTTTTTTTCAAGAGGAAACTGGACTTTCTTGATTATTATTATATATATTTTGGCCTTAAAGACGTTTCACTTCTCAACCAAGCAGCTTCTTCAGTTCTGTCTCAATGACTCTCAGGAAGAGCACTAACGACCAGAGGACCACAAGGAATATAAATCCTTCCTTCCTTCACCATTCAGTCAGAACTGAAGAAGCTACTTAGATGAGAAGCGAAGCGCCTTCAAGGAAAAAGCAAGAAAGTCCAGCTGCCGTCTTGAAAAAAAGGCACCTCTGGGACAGTGTTGCTGATGGCTTCGTGGTGGAGAGGTTGACAATTTGCCGTCTTCCCACAGATAAGAGATGCCGGAATTCTGCTCCAGATGAGGCTTCATCTGAACCTCCGTTTTCAGTCTGTGACAACACTTTTCCACCTCTGGGGGTGAGACGTTGAATGCTTTAATCTTGGTGATATTTCATACATAAACACCTGGATTAAAATAAAAGGGGTAAATCAAAGGTAGTCCTCGACTTACGACCTCGATCGAGGCCAACGTATTTGTTTAAGTGAATTTTGACCCATTTTACAACCTTTTTTGCTGTTAAATGAATCACTGCATGGTTGTTAAGCAGAGCTGGCTTCCCCATGGACTTCGCCCATCAGAAGGTTGCAAAAAGGGATCACGTGACCTCAGGGCATGGTCATAAATGTGAGTCAGTTGCTACATGTCTCAATTTTGATCACGTGACCGCGGGGAATGCTGCAACGGTCCTAAGTGTGGGAAAAAAATGGCCGTAAGTCACTTTTGTGCAGCGCCGTCATAACTTCCAATGGTTACTCAATGAACTGATGTTAATCCAAGGGCTAGCTGGGCTTACGTTCATTTAACAAGAGTTCAAAGTTATGACCACCTCAGAAAAAAAATACTTGTGACCAGGGGTGGGATTCAAATTTCTTAACAACAGTTCTGTGGGCGTGGCCTAATTTGTGGGTGTGTCTTGGTGGTCATGTGACTGGTTGGGCATGACTTGTATGTAAATATTATAAATATGTATGTAAATATTGAATTCTTTTATAAAAAAAGAGCAACTTTTAACCCAACATCAGGCAAAGCAGGCAGGCAGATTGTGTTGCTCACAGAATCAGATTCACTTAGAGATCTATCGATCTGCGATCTGCTACCTAAATCTGTCACATAAAATTTGCTTGCAAGCAAACTCACAAAATTAGTTCACAACATACCATGTATGTAAATATTGATTATTATTTTTTTATAAAAAAAGAGCAACCTTTAACCCAAAATCAGGCAAAGCAGGCAGGTTGAGTTGCTCACAGAATCATAGATTCACTCAGAGTTCTACCTTTCTGCAATCTGCTACCTGAGTCTGCACTGAAAAATAGGAGCTTCGGTCCTAAGAAAGGTTCAGCTCGGCTTTTAGATTAGCTAGAAAGCAAGAAATCCAATGATTTCCTGCTTTCTAACTAATCTAAATCTTCTGGCACAGCTGATAGTCAGAACAGCTGATGGTCGGGGGAAGGGGTGGAAAGGAAAAATAGCAACTTACCAAACGCAGGCAAGTTTGATGGCACGCATGCCAGGTAAGGAGTGAGGGGGAGGGGAGGGGAGGAGAGGGGCCAGCCAGTGGTGCAATTTGCCGGTTCTCTGAACTGCACAGAATCATAACAGCCGGTTCTATACAACCGGTCCGAAAAGGTAGAATCCTACCCCTGTTTGTGACATGTCCTTCCACTTATGACCATCATATCACCCCTGCCCCCCCCCCGCATGATTGGAATTTGGTCACAGGATAACCAGTATGTAACATCCTACGGTCACCTGATCACAATTTACAACCTTCCCAGCTGGTTACCTACCAAATTTCCGTTACTAAGCAGATCATCAACTTTGTGGTATTTTTCCGAGAGTTGTTAAGCGGTCGTTAAGTGAATCACGCAGTCATTAAGCCAGTGCAGCTATCTCCCATGACTTGGTTTGTCAAAAGCTGCCTGGGGAGGTCACAAATGGTGATCAGATGACCCCAGAATGCTGCATCCATCATAAATAGATGCCGGTTGCCAAAATACCTGCATTTTGACCGTGGAGATGCTGCAACGGTCGTAAGTACAAGGACCGGTCGTAAGTCACTTTTTTTTCAGTGCTGTTCCAACTTTGAACCATTGCAAAATGAATAGTCATAAGTAGAGGAACTCCCCTGCAACTTGGATTATAGCAGGGGTCTCCCACCTTGGCAACTTTAAGACTTGTGGACTTCAACTCCCAGAATTC